CAGAAATTTCAAGGCCGGACAATTTAACGGTTTAGGTGCGTGACTCCGGGAAAGCATTGACTGTTAGTCCCTGCAATTCTCCAAAATTACTCAAAAAGGCAATGATAAGTATAGGCCAGGCCGACAGTCTCTTTGTTTGCAAATGGCCAAGCCCTTGCATACACTGCATACCCAAAGTTTTTGTACTGTTCTAATAGCCCAAAACTCACTCTGTACTACTATAGACCAGCTAGCGTACAGTTATAAGTTCTTCAAGTGTCTGTATGGAATTTAGTAGTGGTGTCTATACTGTAGTGTGTGTTTCTCACCTTTGAACCTGGTGCATAGAAATACAGTATCTACCTCGCGGGTGTTCAGATACAGGGTCAAGAAGAAAATAAAGCGCGTTATACGTCAAAGATTATGATGTGAATCATCGCAAAGACGCTTCAGAATACAATAAAGTCCCAACTTTGCTACCCCTTGATTCCTTTCAACTTCTACCTGTTTACAGCGTCCTGTAGTCTAAGGCAAACTCAAGAGCAGACTCAACAGCTTAGGGTACACAATTGTTCTATGGTTTTCAACATTAGCCATTACACAGCATGCAATTCTATTGATAGCACTTACCCGAGACCGGATACAGGATCCCATCCTGGGGCCGCAAGGAAGCCCGTTGTCCCACAATTGGGGTTTGATCCGTTGGTGATGTCCGTGAAGACCTCGGGGTGGGAGTACTATCATGCATGTTAGCCAAAATAAAAACCCCAAAAGCTTGACTTTATTGTTGTGAGACTTGCCAGTGTTGGGTTGAGGAATCCGACTGGCTCCTTTCCAATTGCGATCCTCTCCTCATTGATTCGAGTAATGACAGCAGCCACTACCGGAGCACTCAAGCTGGTACCACCTACTCTGCCGAAAGTCTGTGAGGTTTGTCAGAAAACAGTCACCATTTCTCTGAAACAGTCGAGAATGCTCCAGGGACAAGCTCCACGTGTGATAAGCACATCTCTACACGTGGAGCCGAACTCCAAGACACGTTTTCTCAGGGACGGGGGGAATTTCATAGCACTTACGTCCTGAGCGCGAATTACGTAGAAGTCACCAATCGCCGCCACATCAGGGTAACCACGCCCACCGATTTTGTCTAAGAGTTAAAGGTCAGTGAACCGGATAGTGTCTCCATTCGAATCTGTGAGAGCATCAAAGATGACCTTATCCTTGAAGGCAAGAAGTAAAACGTACAGACACCGTTTCCGGCTGTTGAGAAATTGACACCCGGGTCCGTATATCCTGTAAAATTCAAGGAAACTGAATCGAAGTAAGTAGCTACCTGGCTCGCTTGATAGTCAGGAGTGTCGAAATAGTTGGAGAAACCGCCTCCAGAGGGAAAGCGAGTTGTCGATGACTCGACGTATTTTGGGACTGAAGAATTGCCCGAAGTCTTGATGAACTGTGTCGATCCTACGGCCAGAGTGTACGGGCAGCTGGCATCGCTGGCCGGATAGAAAATGTCCTCATTCGGACCAGCGCATCCAGACGGAGTGGGGTCACCTTCAAAAGATCCCACACCATCATCACCGGACGAGATGACAACTGTGACGCCCTGCAGGCCAAGTTTCATGACCTCGCTGCACCTTCGCTTAGTGTAGAAATCAGGTACGTCGGACTCTCCGCCTCCTAGTAAGTATGAATTAGTGTCTGCATATCATCGATGTAGTATCTTGCATCGAGACTTGAACACGTCACACATCCTTCTTTAGAGAGGGAGACGTACCATAAGAGATAGAGATGACGTTGGTGGGCTCGTAAACGCCACACTGCAGTTGTCCTTTGTAACCGCCCGGATTGGGGTCCGGGTACACAGGATCAAGGCACTCCGGGAGGACGCAGTTTCCGGTCTCACCAAATGCACTGTAAGTACAATAAGAACCATCGAGAGCATCGTAAAATGTGTTCCAGAAACCCCTGATGGGAGTGTTCGCAGAAGTTTCGTTGACCTCATAGAATTCGTCGTCGGTCTGAAACAAGACGGTCCTCTGCGGCCAGATGAGTGGCTGCGCTGCTTCAAAGTCCAGGTCCGACTCAACGCCTGCGGATGTGACGTTCTTGGCGGCACCAAATGCTCCGTCAATGTTCTTTTCGATGGGGTACGTTCCATTCGGAATTTCGGGATAGAGCGTACTCCAGAACACATCGAGATCTTCTTTCGCGTAGTGGTCATCTGTGAAGTAAGTCAGCATCCTTCGCTTTTCAGACTGCCGTGATTTGCAAGGAATATCTGTACCAAGAGATTCAAATATGCCCAATTCGTTGCCCGGTGCTGCTTTGTCGCCCTTGGGGATGCTGTACTGAGTGCGAATGCATTCTTGCGTCACAAAACTATCGCATATGCTGCTGTTCAATGGCGGCAGGCCGGAAGCCTCAATGACTTCCAGGCCTGTGTTCATAGTCTTCACCATCCTCTTTCGAAGCTTCTCGCCATCTGCTTGACGTCTGAGACGTCGCACACGGCCTGGGTCTGGTCGGAGGCGAATACCGGGAGTGATGTAATCCACGTGCTTCTGTACTTCAAATGGTATATGATACTCTCTAGAACGCATGTCAGCGCATAGCCCAGGGAAGAGTAAGGATGGATTTTTGGGCAGTGCGTGAAGATAAATTCGACACAGCAAAACATACTCAGCTGCAACGTTTTCTGTTCCGGTTGGACCATGTTCCCACCAAAAGTAGTCAGTGTAAAGTAATTCCTCAACCTCTGCAACGGTGGCGTCAAATTGGATCCACTATGTAGGTTGTTAATTCGCGGTTTTCTCTTGCTAGTGTGAATACCCTCACCTGTTTGTTGACCGACTGTGTGATGCGCGTCACGTTGATTCCTCCACCAACGAGCCAATCCCGCACAACCTCAACGCTCGCCTTTGGGGGAGCGAAAAAGTCGATGACCTCGCGAGGGCTCATGCGTCTTCCAAAGCTTGGAGATTCAGGGTCCGACCTCTCCATAAGCAAGTCATGGCCCTCTTGTAGATTGGTTTGCCGCAGTCCTATCCGTATGGGCAGGAGGGCTGACTTCGTGACCTTGGACTTCTTCTCCCAAGTACGAGACCAGTGTGGCAATTGACGTTCGTGGAGGACGTGAGAATCTGGAATGTCCCTTTTGGCTACAAAGTGACCGCCACCGAGAGGACTCGCGAAGGCTGAGCCGGTTGCAAAAGCCCCAAGAAGGACTGGTAACAAGTGTTGGTACAACATAATGAGGGTATCTCTATATATCCAACGCTGGCCAGGAGTTTGATAGCTAGCGAGCTCTACAGTACAAACAGCAACAAGCTCAAGTCTCAGATCCAAGGCCTAGCAGCGAGAAACAAGAGCCCGTTGAAATATATACCTAGCTCCGCTGGTCCATATCAACGAGCCGGTGGCACTGTGTTTCGATAAGCGCTGTCGTCTGAGCAGAGATGCTATACTACCCAATACTACGCTAGTTACCAGCCATCTAGGACATATTGCCTTCAAAGTATCTAATAACGCCGCAGGGGTATGGGACCTGTCACATCCCAGGCCTCTTTCTTCAGTACTGCTCTACCGTCAAAGCTCCTAACATTGTTCCAATGGACCAGGGAATTGGGAGGAGTACGCCATAGACAGTGAACTCTAATAAAGAACACCCCTCAAGACAGCGCTTCATAGCTCCCACAGACCAAGGTGATCAGGAACGCACACGAGCACGCAGGTGCACTCTCAATCATTGATGTAATCTTTCTCCACGTACCTAGGTAGGTGGTCATTCGTGCAGGGTTCTACGGGTAAATACTGTGCTAAGAGAACGCTAAGCCGGCTCAGAAAGCTTTGCATTTTTTAGCGCAACTCAAAGAGAGCAGCAGTCCCCAAGTTTCCTGCATACCCGGCTACCAGCTCCATGGAACCTGCCGGGCACCAAGCTAGCTCGCTCAGAAGTTGCCACGACCTCACTGACCAGCAAGCATATACATAGTCGTATCTCGAATGCCCTTGTAAAAAAAAAAAAGCACTGACCTGTGTCAGATATCTGTATATTACGCGTTCCGTAGACAGTAAAATGTCACCTATTAAGCTGTTATGGCCATGAAGTGCAGTTCCGAAAGAGGCTGGCAAAGAATGGACAAGGAGTGCGGCATATAGATGTTCACTCCATCCGGCCTGGGTTACAGACCGGGGTGGCATTAAAGTTTAGATTGACCGCACCTCTTGTCTGCCGATCAATCTCCCACAGGCCTGGTCAGACCGTGAAAGTCAAAGTTCCTTGTCACGTCTCACACGACTTGCGAGCCCACGACAACTTACGGCACGTAACGCAAACTGCGATAGGAAGGTGGCACTCGTCGATAGGCACGAAGCTGAGGGAGACTGAAGTTCAATCGCGTAGTCTATGCGTAATGTGCCTGTTCAACAACCTATGCTGATTTGGCCTGTGCATTGGTGTGTTCTACCATTGTATGCATGCTATGGCTACCAGGGCTACCTAGTCAGTGGCAAGACGCCCACCGCAAGGAAAAGCACGCACACCGGATGCACTCTGTCAGCCTCTGACATCGTTGGGCTGTCCCGGCGACCAACAAGAGGCCGTTCGTCAGGCAGCTAGATAAGGAGCTTTGCCAGTCATGATGAATCACGTCACTTCCTTCTCGCAACACCTCATACACTCATTTTTACATGCATTTATGTTCGAACCCCGCAGTTACTCTTGCGAAGCGTTCCTCCATTGAAGGGACGCCGCAAAGCCCTGTACCTTATAAATCACTTGGTCTCTAGGCGGCTGTTTTTCCTTATCGTCCATGACGAAATGGTCTACAGTGGGTCTATTGATTATAGTGACTAAAAGGAGGTGTTCATCTGCAACACTGGGTCAATTTATTTGTGTTTCAACGTCGGAAGTGACATAAATGGAAGATAGGACTGCCAAACTTCGTGTTCGATATAGCCAGAGTTGCGATAGTGTGCGACCACAATACAACCAACAGGTTCTAGGCCTGGAATCCAACGGCTTCTTGGTCTAGTGGTATGATTCCTGCTTTGGGCTCATAAAGTCAATGCAGGAGGTCACCGGTTCGAGCCCGGTAGAAGCCCCTTTATTTTTACCTTTTATATATGCCTGCCTCTAGCCTGATAGTTGGATCGATTGCTTCGGTTGAGCTGTTCATTGAAGAAGCTTGATAGTAAACAATGCCCCACACCGGGGCCCGGCCACGTGGAAAACTGCATCGGCCCGCGCAGTCGGAGAGCCCCGTTACCCTGCTAGCGTTGCTCGACTAAGACTGCGCGACGGTACGTATTATGTACCTTGCAAGAAGAATTGAAACAGATTCCTCCGTAGAGAGCTGCCCATGATAGCACGCGGATTTAGATTTCCAGGCCCTCGTGCCTTTTGATTATCAGACAGATCTTTCATATGCTGGAATGCACGATGTTGACGGGCTGTCGACCGTGCGCATCGAATCATTCGCATAGCATCTAATTTTTTGTTTGTCTTTTGGGGGGGAAGCTGGGGGGTGGAGTGTCCGAGATCAATCGGCCAAAGTCGACATGTAATCTGTTACCATGGCCACTCCTTCAGCTCCGTATCTGTGAGATTATGCCAACTGTTGAGATGAGATAATTTTGCAACTTTCTGATAATGTTCTTTTAGATCATGCTGAAAGAAATGCTGCTGATACCGTCGACAAACTGGTCTACTAATCATGAAACTGTTCCACCCCAAAATTTCCCCGAAGATCGATCTGCAGCAGTTTCCCTTCTTGGATTTCTTCACGTCTTTCATATAAATCGTTCACGTTCCAATTGACGTTCATATATCGACCGTTCATGAACTTTGCTTTCTCGGTCGAAAGCCAGACAGCAACGCCTCCCACCAGCTCAGGTGTATCTAACGCAAATTTCTTGAAAGACTGCGTTGTCATGTTGGTATGGACAATGCCAGGGTGCAAAGATACAGATGTCACGTTCGGTGACTCCGCCGCGACGTAAGCGGCCATCTGCAGATTCACCAGCTTCCCAAGTGAATAGGCGCTGTTGCCAGGGTAGATCCCGTAAGCCATGCCGGAAGTCAAGTTGATGATCGTACCGTGAGACTCCTCTGGCAGGGACTTGAGGAAGTTTGTTGTCATCAGGAAAGTCCCTCTCGCATTAACGTGCTGCAGTGAATAGATCAGCATCGAGTTTGGCTAGAGCTCTCTCCACAAATCGATCAAACTCACCAGGTCATCCCACCACAGCTCTGGATCTAGCGATTGAAGCGGACCCTCAGCTTTCAAGATCGCAGCATTGTTTACGAGAATGTCCGCGTGTCCGTATGTGTGATTGACTCGCTGGTAAAGCTCCTTGACTCTCAAGGAATCCGAGATATCGGCAGGAAATAGAAGAGTCTCGACCTGGGGGAAGGCCCGATTCAATTCCATGGCAAGCGCTTCAAGCCTCTCCACATTACGAGCGACGAGAACTATAGCCTTAGCTCCGGCTTTTGCGAAAGCAGGGGCGTGACCCTATATTGTTCTTAGCCAAGGCATTTCTAATCGATTTCCTTCCCGGAACCTTACTCACCCTTGCACCAAGGCCTTGACTGGCTCCCGTGATTATCACAACCTTTCCAGCCATGGACAATTCGGGACTTGACGGGTCAACTGCTGGGTATACATCACGCGAGACACGCTTGGTGAACTGCATGCTCGTGACGAAGAAGTCTGCTGGGAGAGTTTCCATTCTGTTCTGCAAAACGTGGACTTGGTGCCAGTGATCTGAAGTTGCCCAGGTGAGATTTCAACGAAGAGTAAGTGCAAAGCTGGAAGAAGATAAATGGGAAAATCAAACAGATGGGTCTGGAGGTATGGCTAAGTCTCAAACAAATTGAGCACGGGAACACTATACCCTTTTATATTTTTATGGTCCTAGAGCTTGGAAAGTGAAGGACAGTTGATTCTGGACAGGAGAGCGTCTATATCTTGCAGGACGTATACTAATGCGAAATTCAGACGCAATGCCCGCGTGCTTACTGGAAGCGGACCAAGCTCGGGGCCCACCATTGTCCCAAATAGGCAAATGGTCCAAGACAGCTTGCAGGTGAGCATACTGCATTGTGGAACACGCGAAGACATCGGCTTGTATTACTAATTAAGGCTATGCGCTCGACTTACAAATCAGGCAGATTCCAGTCAGGTAGGACGACCAGCACTGTACATTGTTGAAATCATCTTCTGTGAAGCTGTTACAGCAACTAACGAGTCTGAGTCAAGACTATCAGAATCGGTATGCATGGTGCGGTACACATTAACACATGCCGCTTTCATTACTACGATGGCGATTGTAAACAACTTTTGAAACGTAGCTCTATCCTCTCCTGAAAAGTGGCATGGTTTGCGTCGAATATGCAAGCATACCATAGTATTTTCCTTACAATAGCCATGCTCTCTTCCCATTTCTCAATCCCATAGAGCATAGACACTGATGCTATGCGGTCCAGAAACCAAGTCTCAAGTGGGCCATCCTGAGCCTCAATCGCTCCCATATACAATATCCACAGGTAGAATGTCCATAAGCGGCCCCAGTCGCCATCATCGTTGTAAAGAATAGCTTGCAGCTTGGCCAAAATTGCTTCTGATGTTACCGGAGCGACACCAAAATACCTCCACACCCGCACCATATAAAGCAGGGTTCCCAATCGGCATGCTTCTTGGATTCTGAAGTATTTTGGAAGCAATATCTGTGGGTCTAGACGGAGTCGTAGAAGTCCGTGGATCATAAGCAATGACCATGCTCCAGTCTCCCTTCCATGATCAAGCTGTATCCTTCCTGCGATTGGGATTGGACTTTCGAAGCTTTGATGCGACAAAGCATTGATCTCTTCGAAAATATCGAGCCACCTTGTGTCATTCTCACGGACAAATACGGACTTCCAAGCAGCTCTCATACTGACCATGTCTTGAGCGTCTCGAACGCCAAGGGGCTTGCCATTTGGGTAATAGCATTGATCTGGGAGTGGGTAGATTGGCGAGATGTCGAACATAAGGGCTCCCTGGATCTCAACCCTGGGCCAAAGGATTAATAGCCATGCTAATTTTGCGATGAGACCGCCACATGAGCCACGATCTCATTGACTCACCAAGAAACTGTTAAACGCAAGTTTGTATTGCCAGAAAGCTTATCGATACCACCTCGCAGTTTGATCAATTGGTTCATTCCTTGCAGATGCGTGTGCCAGTCCAGCCAAGAGCCCCTGATATCCTGATCACATTCGTCCTGTCAGTATCGCAGTAACCATTTGAGTGTGTATTGGAGGAATCTAGTGCAGATACTCATACTTACAGCATTGCATACTAAGCCTGAGACTGCTCCAATGACGGCATCAAGGTTCTCGATACTATCTTGTTGAGTAATAGTCGTCAGCCGCTCGTTGACAAGGGCAACCGCTGCGGTCTGATATATCACTGCTGTTGTAGTCTCTCCGGCCACTTTCGTGCCGCCATATTGCCTAGAATCCATATGCAGAGCAGAGTTTGACAATACTGCCATGAATGCAGCTTCATCCGTCATCCCTATAGAGAACCAGGCATCCCGTAATGGTTGTTGCTGGCTGCCATTTGAAAAGACTACAAACGTCTGTAGTCAGTCCTGGTCCATACAACGCTGAGATTCGCGAAAATTCTCACTATTTGCTATTAGATCCTTCTCTAAAGCATTTAGCTTCACGTTGAAATTGGCAATGAGGTTCAAATCGTCAGTCGCCGTCCACCTGACGCCCATCCACCAGGACGCTGGGGTCACACCGTGAAGGCCCCTCGGATGCAAGAGGCTCAAGTCAAGTTCGACGACTTTATTGTCTTTGTGTTTTCTCCGACTTTTCCCTATCTCTTTCATTGCCTGTTGTCGGATCAGTCGGCGTGCTGCCGGGGTTGATCGGGAATGGGGACCATGATAAGGGACGAAAGCCAACGAATTCCTCGTCGCGCTTGCATCCTCGCGATTATGGTGTTTGTGCTGTTTTATTTTGACTGATGACATTGCTAGCTCTCCCACGAAGGCTCGCGACCGAGATCCTGAGCAAAACGTAGTTTGGCACGGAGCTGTAGCTATTAGCACCTCAACGGTTGTGCTGGACTAGGTATCTAACAGACATTGTGGAACCCCCCTCATGGAATGAATCCGCTCCCATGAGATTGCAGTTGAATTTCAGCTCAGCAAATTGAAGTATCACGCGAGATACGATTACTAACTAGCTGACAATTATCTATAGGATGTTCCGGTTGTTCCGACAATTCCGATTCCACAACATATACTTACCCCCTGTCATTATGCAGCTAAGAGAACGCTACAGTTTGCATTGGAAGTCGACAACCCTCTAGGAACATCAAGGCTTTTTTCATTTTCATGCTGAAAAATTCAGGAACCTGGGGAAAAAAAAGACATCCATTCGCCAAGCCATTCCATGTTTGAAGGCAACACATTCAAATGAGCTTTTGAAGTCTGTCACTTGCTCCAGTTCGTGAGGAATGTCTTTCGGCGTTTTAGTAACATGTTCAATGACTCACTTCATGTTGACTAGGTATTTGGAACTATGAGAAGGGCCTCAGATAGATACAAGTCACTGTCAAGCATCTTGGAACGGGTTTTGATATAAAAGTGCGCATTCTGACAGCCTCGAGACCCTTGGCACTTTGTGGGTCAATCCGTGCTGTTGAGAAATCCAGTCGCCCATCTCTGGTGGAGACGGTCTATTCCTTCAAGCTGTCGCAACGCTCTTCAATAATCATGAAACTTACACGAGCACTTTTCTATAATCCTGTACTTTTATGCATACCGTAAGTAACATGTCCCAATACAAATCACCAACAAAAATATCGCTAAATATGAACTCTTCTTTCTGTAAGAGACATTGAGGCACAGGGGACACTCGTTCAAAGACACTGCGAGTGTCAGCGATTGGACCCTTCCTTGCTTGGTGGGCTTTTCGATAGCGGCAATCTGCCCGTAAGTCGAGACAATAAGACGACCAACGAATGCTGCACAAACGGCATCATCGAAATAGGAGGCCAGCATGAGGTAAGGACGACACATGCCTTGTAAACGCTAGTGGTATG